GAGGTAATTACTCGAGAAAACCATCCGACTCATTATACAATGAGCCCGGGACGACGGAGCATGTTATTACGATCGCGATAGAATTAAGACGCTCGGCGTCGTTTTCGCCGCCGCCCGGCAAAAAAGCAACAAAAGCCGAACAAAAGGCGCCCGAGTCGCTTGAATAATGATCCCGGTCGCCGCACACTGGCCCCGAATGCGCGCCATCGGTTTCGAAGACTCAGCTTTGAAGCCCAGATTACACCTGCAAGTTACAAGCGCTTCTTGAAAGTGCATCACCAATAGGAACCCAGGATTTGAATCGATCGACGTCGAGTTTTTGAAATCCTCCTTGCCCACACCTACGAGTTACAAGCGCTTGTTGAAAGTGCAACACCAATAGGAAATCAGAGTAACAAGCGCTTGTTGAAAGTGCAACACCAACAGGAAACCAGGATTTGGATCGCTCGACGTCGAGCCTTCGAAATCCTCTTATTTGACCATTGGTGTTGCAACAAGCACTAGTAACTAGCAGGTGTATCTGGGCCTTTAAGGCTACTCGTGGGCCTTGAAAAACAGGGGGAATGAGGGGGAGGGTCAGAGAAGTGGAGTTGATTATGGGAAGTTTGCCACTAGATTGACTGGAAATCGCATTGGTATTGATTGTGTAGTCCAAGTGTTTAACTACACGTGGTAACTTTGATTTTTAGGACCCGGATAAACGGGGATCATCGGAGTATCAGTGTTCCAAATACGAAACATTTCGAAGATATTGAAGGGATGAGGTATTTACGTAAAACACGTGTTAAATGATTATACACGTAGAAGGAGACATACTCATACGATAAGACTGATACATAAGTGAGAACTGGGTATAAGCGAGGGAAAGCTTATCACTATACTGCTCAGGTGACGCCGTGGTGAGCATGGCATCGATGCAAAACCTTGCATTCCTCGAGTTAGGTTCCTTCAGGTTCTTTGTCAACCTGCCGTTTAAAACTTACTGTAGACTGAAGCTTAATTTAGGCTTGGAGTTTCTATGACCATGACTTTTTGGACCATAAATCATTTCGTTAGGGGGGATCTTATGTCATTTTTCTAAATCTAATGGTGACCTTTCACTTATCTTTCAAACAACTTAAATTCTCTCGTCTTCAGATTTTTAGTAACGGTGTTCATGCAGCAAACAGGAAGGAAGATTTTATTTACCGAGCTACGCAGGTATGCCTCGATGTGCTGCAGAACGGAAAAACCTTCTCTTTTCGAAGGAATTACTCGGAAGAATAGGGGTAAACCACTTTGCAAGCTTCGGTAATGTCTCTGCTACGTCCAATGTCGTAAAATGATCAAGTTTAATATCCGATGGCATTTTTTTGAAAGCTGAAGAGACTTGAACATTATTTAGCTTAGTTTAAAGCTCCCCGCAAGTTTTTTTCTTGCGGAGAGCTCATTCCACTCATCAGCCGATAATCGGTTAAGTGGTTGAAATGAGCGCTTCTCGGAGTCAACGGAAGAGAATGAAGTTTGTTGAAATCAGCGAATGGAATTCACCTCCGGCCAATGATCAGAGAGAGGAAAATTTCATAGTTCAGATGGCGAGTGTCAACTTCGATGGATGCTTCAAGTAATGGCAGCACTGGCAAAATCGTAAAATCACTCATTTTGCGCAACTCTAGATTCTTCAATGATCTATGTTTTTTCAATGATCATTACCTATTTTTTAAGAGAAACTTAAGTTTACACAAACAAAGCAAATGCATTGTTATAACCATTAAATTCAGTAACGTCATCTAGGCTGTCACACAGGCACGTACTTCTCTTTCACTAGAAAATCCAATTGCAAGGATGCTCCTTTCTTTCATTGAGAGTTCTTAACAGATCGTCAGAGTTGACTCGAAAGAATGAGGGTTTAACCAATGTCAGTTTTTTGTAAAAAAGGATTTCGTCAGGAAAAACTGAGCAAATTTTATTGGATTTACGGTGTTGTTAATTTGGACGGCAGTTTTGTATTCATAGTTTAGTCTATAAAGCTCAATAATCGCCCCGCAGGACCCTACTTCAGAATACTTTCGCCGACTCCCATCCGAAAAATCTAGGCTTTCAACAAATTTCAACTGCCGGTCAGGTTGGCGTATAGCGGTCAGCGCGTCTGACTCTAGACCATTAGGTCCCGGGTTCGAATCCCGGTGGTGACGACGAAATCGCAAGGAACTGACGAGTGGGTCGGTAGAAACAGACTCTTTTCGGCTTTACTCCCCGAAAATTTGGAAGCCCAGAGCATGGATGTGTACCAACCCTGACCCGATGCTCAGTCAAGTTTGCAGAATCATCATATGATAAAAGACTTCAAACAAATTTTTTTTTAAAAAACGAAAAATTTTATTAATTGGATTTGATTCTTCCGATCTTTTTCTCGTCTTAGGTTTCGTGTGCCCGGTAGGGTTACACGGAATAATTCTGAATTTTTCTTTATTCCGCCATCTTACCGGGGTTTCTATGATATATCTGTTGTGGTGAGGTTCAGTAGGATGGGCAATGAGCTTGGGAGTACTGTCGATTTATTAGATGTAACATTGGGGGTTTTCAAGTCGCTGATGAGAGACCACTTCAGGGGTGAAACTTAGGAGTGAAATGTAAATTTATTTTGTTGATTCTTTTATCTCATTTTATCATTTGTTCACATTTGTTCTTGTTTTCATTCTGTCATTCTTGTTTTGTTTTTATTTTTGTAGTTTTGTTAATGGACTTGGTCCGTGTATTTTGTCAGTAAATAAATATATTAAATGGGAACCTTGGCCGTAAAAACGCTAATACAGGGAACTGAGCGGCGCGGCGAATGATAATTAGGCGAGGAGAGTCTGTCTCGCGATCCGGCGAACTCGAAGCGTAAACGCTACATGCCGGGGCCGGGAAAAAGATAATGTTCCGAATGCGTTTTCCACGAACAAAAGAAAAGAGCAGTCGAGTTCCGTTGGCCGCTTCGCCTCCTTCCTGTTTGTCTCCTGCATCGCCTCAGACTCGGCTCCATATTTTCTTCGCCCTGTTTCTAAGTCCTCTCCAACTAAGATGCACGATCGGTAATTTAACTTTAACTCGCCGGGTCCCCGGGGAACCGACCAGACCACCGCACTCCGCTCCCGAATGCTCGCCGTGCCGAGACAGCGAAATCCACCATATTCCAGGCTGACATCCAGCACGCATATGTGCTTTCTCCGCAGAGTTGCCATGCTGTATCCTCAATCCATAATTTGGAACATCTTGCTTATTGTTCTATTATACCCAAATAGATACAAATTATACAAATTCTTACGAAGCAGCCCGAAATAATGGTAACAAGCGAAAAATAAGGAGGGGGACGGAAAATAACACTGGAAAAAAAGGCGGACGAAGTTTGGAAATTTTTAACGCTAACACTGGAAAAAAAAAACACATTGGATCTAGAGTTCAGACTCTTGAAAACATTGACAAGAAAAAATACTCTTGATTCGATCGGATTTTTGCTTGAATCAAAACGACATCCGCTTGAATCAAAACGACATCCGCTTGAATTAAGAGGCTTAGTTCTTGATTTAAGCTAGATTCTGATTGAATCAAGAGTACTTTTTCTTATCGATGTTTTTCTAAGAGTTTGAACTCTAGATCCAATGTGTTTTTTTTCCAGTGACCTAAATAGATTCAAATATTTATGAAGCATCCCGAGACAATGATAACAAGCGGAATATAAAGAGGGATGGGACCAATTGGGCGAGTTTAGCTTCGAGGCCTTGAGGGTGAGGAGGATCTGATTCACCATCCGACATGATGCGATGCACACTTCACGGGGCCGAGCGATAGCGCGAGAAAAACGCGACCGTTAACGCGAAAACACGTTAAAGAGAAAGAGTTTCGAATTCTGAAATAAATCGGAAGAAAAGCTCGTCGCCATTTGTTATATCCTAAAACTAAGGATGATGTGAAAGAGGAGTGCACGAGAGTTGCGTGACATAACGACGGAATATATTGATAAAAGATACAAGCTTGCCCTGCAGGCTGTGTTACCTAAGTAGCGACAATATCACTACTCGCACATGCTACCAACTGCTACATAATACTCCCGAGACGTTTTCACTCAAAACTGAGTTCATATTCAGTTGGAATAATACAATAACAATTAAAAAATATTGATGAAAAAACCCGACACCTGTATGTTGAGAACCAATAATTTTTATTTTTTTTTGTTTAGCTCGATGCGAAAGTCTGATACAACACTCCGAACTTCACAATCTGCGTTTCTTCAAGTCTCTCGCTTCAAAAACGATATCACGGCACGGGTGAATACAATTCGTAAAAGGAGTCGCGAACCCTTGCGCACTAGAATGATGTACAATATTCAACATGGCTCTCGCTGCTGCGCCAAAATCGTGAAGAAGCACCATGGTCCTGGTCAACGCAAGGAAAATGTGAGTATTAGCATTTTGAATTTGGTATAGCATCCTAAATATGCGCAAGTGCTTGATGGTGTGGCTCTTCTAACGAAATGTTCATCTGTGCTGTAGTATTGTTTTTGAAGCGGGAAGCTCTAAAAACGCATGTTTATTTTACGCAGATTGTGAATTTCGGAGTGTATTTCAGACTTTCTCGATGCGCCCATCGTGATTTTTGAGCTATTACCTATTTGAAAGAACTCCTCTTTTGGCTTTAGCTGAAGTTGCCAACATGCCCATTCTCTCTTACTCAAAGCGGCCATACCATCAGCAAATCTGGGTGACAGAAAAGCGGATATAAGGCAATTCTGAAGTGTGTATTTTTTAAAGTGAGCTCTTGGACCGTTCTCCTTGAAAGTATTTCGTTAAATTACGAGTCGCATCTGTAGATAGTTGAGAACCCGAGTCACGAAGTATTGTCAACCAACGCCCAAGCTTGCCCACCATTCTCGCGGAGACACGCGATACGAGCGAAATGAATGCGACGTAAAGCAAGAGACATTAGCGGTGCAGTAAAGAGATGCCGGGTGAGGATAAGGGAAAACATATGTGACTGACCGTCGTGCGAGTCGTAGAGGTATGCTATGTGGCGCCAGCCGTAGTGCTTGATGACGTCGATGATGGCCTGGTGGTAGTCCGGCCGCATGCTTATTGCGTAGTCTATCGAGCCGGATGATGGTGACAGCACCTAGAACATAGTTAAGCGGACATCATAAGTGCATCGTCCGAGGATCATGTTTTTTTCTCTTTTTTTTGATTTTTTTAAAAAGAGAATGCCACAGGAGTGGCGAGTAGGCGTCGCAGAGTGCCCTAGCGCGCCGTAAAAGCGGCTTATACATACACTAAAAGAGAATGCACCGATGCACATTGACAAAGGTTTGTTTGATAGTTTGCAGATCGGATATGAAGTTTACAATTCCAGCAATTAATTCACTGTAAAATAGCCAGGATAATCTAGCAAAATTAAACACGAAAAAATGGGAAGCAAAGACGAAGAAATTATCACAGCAGAATGCCTAGGATGTTAGGGGGGTCATAGGGTCTAGGAGTTTTTATGTTTTTAATTTTTGGTTTTTTTCTGGTCGGGGAGGAGGCTGAAAACACACCGAAGTGTCTCAGGCATTCTTTTTGTTTTTTAGCCTTGGTTTTCTATTTCCTTGTGTTTTTTTTTTTGGTAAATATCGTAAATGCGAATAACGCTGCTGTATCATCATGATGCAGAAAGTGAAAACTATTTCATTTTATAAACAGAGCATCACACAACTCTTCCTACAAACACATACTGATTGCACCTAGAACTCAGTTATCGTACGAACAAACTTGATAAGAGGATGAAGCGAAGTCTGATACTCAGTTTCAGGCAGAACGGGGGACACATTTTTGTAACTTTGCTTCCGGTTTGCATGCATGCCAAATAGGACCCTTTTGAAATCATATCGTGTGTCTGCCGTGATGACTTCATAATAATACCTTCTTTCACTATGTGTATAAAATAGCCGTTAGTGTCTTGATCTCCAAACCTATTTGAACAAGAAAAGCCATTCCCAAACTTTTATTGGAGCATGTTGTGCAAGATTCATTTGCGTTTTGTCACAAATTAACAGATTTCTAAAATAATTGGTATGTTTCAAAGCTGATGAGTTTCTCAAATGCCAAATACTATTAGAACTTCTTATAAGTTCATACTAAACAAGGTGTAGGGAGTTTGATTCAAAATCTAGAATCGATCATTTCGAATACGGTGAACGTGACCCGAAATGCTATCTCGGCTCGCTTGATTTTTGTCAAACTCCGTATTAGGGTGTATTTTTTGACGGGGTTTGTTAAATCTTCAGACTCTCAACACTTGTTTAAAATGAAGTTGACTACTTTATTTTAACTCGAAATTTTGTATTCGACGCATGCAGCGCGAACAGTACTCGAAGTCAACGCATCATGACTCGACTCTTCGTAAGTCGCGGTTGGACCAATTTAAAACGCCTTCAAGTTCGTGTGATACTGTGCAACACACCGAAGTTGATATAGTTGTATTCTTAGGTCCGAACCTAACTCGAGCTTTCTCTACGAAAAAGACTTGTCAACCTGTTGACAGGTGTTTTGTAGCTCGAGTTATCTCGAAAATTGTTTACTAATATTGCTCGTGACTAAAATTTAAGCCTCGATCGATTTGAAAGAAAGAATCATCATTATTTATGTGGCCAATGCAATAGACCCGCCGAAAGGAAACCCTGATTTTTAAACCTTCTGTCGACTTTTTCCTGTTTTCGGCGATGCCGGGCTTGAAATTGGCTCGAAGTTGCCTCCAGTGGGCTGATTGTTGAAATTGGTAGACAAAGCGATAGACAAGAAGACAAAAAGTTTATGGAGGGATCTTATCGGTGGAAGCAGATGGTTGCTATGGACAAAGAAGGGTATCACTGGAAAAAAAAAAAAAAAAAAAAAAACATTGGATCTATAAAACATTCTAAACTCTTGAAAACATTCACAAGAAGAAAACACTCTTGATTCAATCAGATTTAAGCTTAAATTAAAAAGAAGTCCGCTCAAATTAAGAGGCTTGGTTCTTGATTTAAGCGAAAAGGCGATTGAATCAAGAGTATTTTTTCTTGTCAATGTTTTTAAGAGGCTGGACTCTAAATCCAATCTGTTTTTATTTTCCAGTGAGTATTAGACTAACCACCGGCAACCTACGAGACTCTATAGTTCGTCACTTAATTTCTCCCCTAGTCTATAGGAACCACCCACTTCAACCAAGAAGACCAGTCCATTCTCTCTATGTCTTCTTCGTCTATCGCTTTGTCTATCAATTTCAAAAATCACCCCGCAGTGTAACTCGATCGGTTTATCATGGGTCCAATTATTATTCTAATGAGATTCACGTAGTTGAGGATGGCGGGTCCATCATCTTATATTCAAAACTTTCCGCCTTGTGCATCGTTTCCGACGTGAAACATAAGTATTAATACGTACGCAGTGCTTTCATTTTCAACATGCATAGCATATTCGTCGCCTCATCCTGTGAGATCATTAAATCTCTCCGAAAGGAACAACAAACCGCTCTCCGTAAAGCTCATTCGTTGTTAATGAGTTTAAATGTAGCCCCCGAACCGGAATTCCGGAAAGACAACATATCGCGGAACCGAGGGCTAGAAATTAAAATTAAAGCCGTTCCTTTTGATCCGGGCGGGGACTCCGTCATTTCGCACGGCATAATGACAGGATCGGCTTAAGCCTCGACTGTTGCGGAATCATTATGAGTGCGTGCGCGCGCCCCGCCGAGTG